AGCTAGACTGACTTCCAACCCTCTGACCACACACACACACACTCTGTGGAGGCCGGTGATGGAGGTGATGGAGGAGGGAGGTGGGGGCGTTTGTTTGGTCCTACCTTGAGCTCCCAGCAGCGTGTCCCTGATGAACTGCTCCAGGTCTTCAGCTCGTTTATGAATCCTGTCAGCATCGTCTTCAACCTGTTCTCCATCCGCAGACACCTTAGTGGCCTAACACACACACACACACACACACACACACACACACACAAATACACAATCCATGAAATAACAACCAATGCTGAATAAGTGAACGTATCGACTGTTCTCTAACGAGGAAAGGAGAAGGATGGAAGGTTGAGTCCTGAGACGGGGATGACAGACGATGACAGATGCAATCGATATTATCGTGCCTAAATCTGTGTGTGTGTGTACGCGGCACACACACACACAGGGCTAAATTATTGACAGGAAAACACACACACGTCTAGAACAAGGGCAGCAGAACTGAGGAACGGACAAAGACTTGACACAAACCAAAACACAAACCCATTAAACGCAATTACACAAACAGAATCAAAGAGCAGATAATTATTGTTGTGATTCCACAAAAGACACTGCATCAATTTAGCTGCTCTGCATGTGTGTGTGTGTGTGTGTGTGTGTATGAAGGGGTGTGGGCGATATCATCACTGTCAAGGAGCGTCAAAGCTTCAGTCCCTAAAAGGCTGAGGTCTGACAGCGTGAATGTGTGTGTTATTCCTCTCTGCTTGACATTTTCAGGCTTCCTTTTATTTAAAGAGTGTTTTTCTATTTTGGTAAATGACTCTTCAAACATGACTGAGGTCTGTGTGAATTCTTCTGACGCTGAGGGAAAGACAAAGAGGCACTTTTGTCAGCATACCACGGAAGTGTACTACTCTAAAAAAAAAAAAAAAAAAACACAACAAGACAATTATGTTTTCAAAGATCTTTTCAGGCCGAGTCGTCTATTCAGATTCAGATTTCTAATTCTGAGCTGCGGGGGGGGGGGGGGGGGGGGGGGGGGGGGGGGGGGGGGAGGCTAAAGGCTCAACAGGTTTGATATCATTTCACAGAAAAAAAAAAATACTGTTTACCATAATATTTGTTACAAAAGATAAAAGAATAAATAAATACGATACAATATAAAAAAACATATAATATTAAAAAACTATTTCAATGACGGACAAAAATCCTCACATGTATCTTGTGTCATCATTGACCAAATCATCTGTGCACAACGATACTGTTGGAGAAAAGTGACCGCTGATCTTGTTCAGTTGAACCCAACGCTCATGTACTCGCAGGAATTGAAGAAAGACACACATGAAGCTCTGAGGATTTACTTGGATTTCTTTGTTGTCTTTTTGTCTCGAATTAAACCCTCAAATTAATTACCAAATGACAAGTGTTCTAACTTTTCTCCAAATGTTTCTGATGTATGTTGACGACATTCAAAACAAATTCAAATTCAAAGTGTAGCAGAAAATGCAGCCATGAGCAAAAAAAAACAAAACACTAGAATAGAAACAACATAAATCTATTATGTGGCACCTTTTACCTGCTTCGTTGTTAAATCTAAAACTATTGAATTCTGTGTTTTTCTTTTGTAGTAGTATTGTTGTTGTGCTTACTGTACTGTACACTGCATATTCCTTAAAGCTTCGTTTGTGTTTGATGAAAGTGCCTCAGCTGGCAGGTTAATGTAGTTGCAGTGCCCAGGGCACTAATGTCTAATAATGTGTCTGATGTTCCATTCTTATCCTTGAGACTTAACACAATCTCATTATCTTTGTTTTCTTTTTTATGTTTTTTTTCTGCTCAGTGTTCAACTCACTTTCCCCCCTGTTAAAAGCTGTTACGGCAGCTGGAAGGTTCTTTTCTCTGACACTTGATGAATGTATAAGGGTTATTATTATTATCATTATTATATAAACAGACTGATCTGCATTCAGCAGCATTTTCATTTACTAGTTTTTCTTGTACCAGCTTCTTATGTGCACTTCTACAACAGGTAGAAAAAAGTTTTTGGTCCTAAAACTAAACAGATGGTAAAATAATTTAATATTGAAAAAAAGGTTTTGTTTTTTTTTTACAAATGTATCTTTTTATGAATACTCATGGTATCTGTTGTACTATTACTAAAATATTTCTACCACATGACAAGTAATCGAATGAGTGTTTTTGACCAGAAATGAAGATTTTAAATTTACACGTGACATCTGAGGTTACTCTGAGTCTGAGCAGTATTTTTGTTCCCACCTCCTAAGGTGAGTGACGAGGTTTGTGTTTTAAATTTTTTTCCTATTTTACCCCTATCACTCCATTTGCCTCGTCTCATCGTTGTACCTCTACAACAGTGGCCTCTGAGGTTTGAACCAGCGACCCGACGTCAGCAGACCGAGTCAGAGACGTCCGATCACTGTACGGCAGGACGTAGGGAGAGAGGGAGGGAAAGTGTGAGAGGCAAACTAAGACGTCCGTACCCTGCTGTGCAGCTGGTCCATCTCAACCACCAGAGAGCCCATGTTGGAGTCGGCCAGCTGCAGTAACCTCTCTGGAGCTTTCTGAGGCGACAGCATGTGCTGTGGTGGAGACATGGAGAGATGGAAGAATTAGGGAGGAAAAAAAAAAAACAAAGAGAAATGTCTGACATATCTTGGCTCGAGGAAATGTAGTTTTTTTTTTTATGTAATGCTTTAAAAAGGCAGAGAAATCTCTGGAAAGACTAAGAGAAAATTTGTCAAAATAATACTCGTATACATGTGTATCCAAAAGTGAAATAGAAATGTAGAACTTTCTCAATTAATCATGATTAACCATAATTAGTTACAAAGACAATTAATCACGTATAACAGTGATTTATCATTTTAAGGTAGTTTCTTTGGGTGGACCGGCAGTCCAACCTCCGGTCCTTACGTGGAGGGGAACATGACGCACTCGTCAGTTAGAGCAGCAGCCGTGAACAACAACAGGCTGTTTACAATAGATTATACGGTAATGGCTGACAGAGGGAAAGTAGTTGATTTTAATTAACATCAGGGAACACTTAACAGTGACGTGTGTCTTTAAACTCGTGTTTCAAATGACTTTTGATTAAAATGAACATGATCAAGGTTTCTGACCGCCTCTACTTCTCACAGCTGGTGATTAATGACTGTGCGGAAAAAAAGTTAAGAAAGAAAAGTTTCTCAGTTGCTAAGAAACAGCCGTCAACACTTAAGGTTTGCTTTGACTTATGGCAGTTTTTGTGAAACTTGCAGTGCCCTCTTTGGTAGATAGGGTTTTTACATTACTATGATTATTACACATTCAAAGCTATTGTTTCAAAACTCCACTGAGCTGCATCCTCCAGTAATAACTATGTGCCTCCAAAAGGCCCCCGCCCCCCACGTTGTGAACTACAGTGCTAAGTTTTCTTGTACCTTGAGTTCCTCAGTCATGTTCTCAAAGCGGTACAGCATCTTATAAGGAGGCGGGAGCGGCGTGGTCAGAGTGACATCAGTGATGATGCGATACAGACGGTCCATGTCGCTGATCAGGAGACCGGAGCACTCGTCATCACAGGCTGAAGGGACACAAACACAACATCAGGTTCCTGTGGGGTTTTTTTCTTTCCTTCTTGGTGTTTCCCGTGGAGAACATGACCAGATATTGGTTGAAGAGTTTCTTTTTTTTAGCCAATTACCAGATCAGAGTCTGATCTCTGTGTAACTGCTGGTGTTTTCACAGACAAATGGAGCGGCTGATGCACCAAAACACACGAGTTGAGCCGCATCATTATCTGACAGAACGACAGCACACTCACATGCTCACGTGACGTGGTTAAAGCCACTGTGATACCCAGGTGTTGGACGCTGCCCATTCAGTGGGCCACAGTTACAGGTTTGGAACCAAACTTGAACCAAATCTGCAAGTCTTTGGACTTAAGGTCAGGTTAATGTATGTCACACTGCAAACACACCAAAACCAACACATGAAAACAAACCTGTTGTCGTCACGGGGGAGGTTACAGCAGGCAGAGGTTTGTCTTTAAAATGCTTCTTAATACTTTGGAAAATATATGATTTTAAATACAATATAATTTTATATTGTATTTTTTTTTCTTAAGTAAATCCTTTCAAATTAAATTCAAAAAAAAAAAACGCTAACGCTACATCTTTCGTAATTAGTTCTTTGACGTGAGCCCACTTCAGGTCCAGTCAAGATCTACGATATATTTTCTTACGTAAACGGAACTCTGAAGGCACACAGTAAATGCTGTAGTTTCAGCTCAGGCCACTGAATAATCTGAACGTCTGAGCTGAGGCTCAGTGAAGTGAAAAAAAAGAAGAAAAACTCCGACCCAAAAAAGCAGAAGCTTTTAGAAGTGACTGTTTGAGCTTCAGCTGTTAAAACTAAGTCAATAAAAAAGAAATGACCTTTTCCAGCAGCTGAGTGGTTGTTAAATGGGTTTTTAGAAGAGTAATAAAATAAAATAAAATAAAATAAAAATAAAATAAAATAAATAGATAGACAGATAGATAGATAGATAGATAGATAGATAGATAGATAGATAGAAATACAGTTTTTTTTTTTGTTTTTTAATGTTCAGATTATTTTGGACCACACTGAGTGGCTGTTTATCTTGGTTTTGATTGAATATCTGACCACAGTATCTCTACTTTAGAACTGCCTTAAATCAACGTCTCCGTGACATCGCAGACTGAAGTTCTACAGCACGGCTGAGGACGTGGTGTGAAAAAAAAAAAAATCGAAACGTTCCAGAACAAACTACCCTTAATTTTGCTCTTAGGACAAAAAAAGTCAAGTGCAGTTTGTTCCGCTCACACCATCAGGTGGCGATCACACGTGGTGATTACAGCCTGGGCGTAGAGACCATTCTATGTCAAGGTGCACTGCAGCAGCGGCACTGCCAATTTACCAACGCAGACTTTGTGTGCTGAACACAAAGACGGGAGCAAACCATTTCTTCTGACCTGACGGCAGCAATTTCCCATCAGCCTCTGTCTTGCAGCACGAACCCTTTTTCTCCTTCCACACTCCTGCACTTACCTCCAGACATTTTAATGGCACAGAATTGGCCCAGCCATTACGGTCATATTAAGTTAAAATGACCTCCTAATGGTATTGGAATGATTTTTTTTAAATGACGTGAATCTGACTTCTGCCACGACCGTCTGTCGCCCATGGAAACCACGGGACGGGAGTCGGACCGCTGGACGACATTTCTTTGTCAAAATGATGTTAAAAGAAAAATAATAATAGTTGGATAATAACTGAAATAAAAACAAAAATCCACCTGTGTCTGTTCTATATCAAATCAATGATCAAGTTTTTAAAAATCCAACCACATTCCTGGTTTGACGTGTAACATTTTAAACCTTTGAATCAAAAATTTTGGACACTAAAAAAAATTATTTTGTTGAACAAAAAAGATTGGTGTTCCAACACACTGGTCACTACAGAAATACTGGACGTGACATAGTGTGGACAATGAAGACTTGAGTCATTTTTAAGATAATCACTGATGTAATATCACTGACTTTTAGCAGTAAAATTCCAAGCTAACAGCCCAATGAAAAGTCCCAGTTCTTACTCAAGGTCTTTACCAAAAGATTTTTTTTAAATTCTAGAACGTAGAATAATCATGAAGTGAATAAGCCACTGGATAAAGAAGCGTGTGCGGTGAGAAGCGTTCGTTAGTCTTACAGATGATTCCGGACGCTCCACACACATGCCTTTCCATGCACTGGTCACACAGCCTTCCCGACGCCCCCACCCTGCAACGGCACTGGCCCGTGACAGGGTCGCACGGTCCGGGCAACGCCCCCCAGGCAGTACACTTACACTCCTCACAGCGGCCGCCTGGCATGCTGGGGTTGCCATGGTAACCGGTGGCACACCTGGACAGAAGAGAGAGAAGAAGTTTAAAAGAGCGAAACAATATGGAGTTTTTTTTCAATTTGCCTAAAAATATTTTTGTGCTTCCAGCTGAGTTGTAAACCCCTTAAGAAATATTTTTTGGGTCTGACCTCTCACAGTGCTTTCCCTCGTATCCTTCAGGACAGGCGGTGCAGCGGTAGTCGTTAAATCCCTCAGCCACACAGGTGGGACTGAAACTGTAAAGAGAAACACAATCTCCTCACCAACAAAACACAAACGTGTTCTTTAATTGTTAAATGTTAGGATCTAAGAAAATGTCACGTTTTGACAGGAGTGAAGCAGAGACAGAGAGGAGACCAGCAGTTCTGAAGCAGAGACAGAGAGGAGACCAGCACTGACCTGTTCCCTGGGCTGGTCAGTGGACAGGCACAGGGTTTACAGTCATCGGGAGAACCTCGGACTATTCCATAGAACCCTGGAGCGCAGCGCTCACATCGGTCTCCTTCTGTGTTGTCCTGACAGTTCTGAAAACACCGACGAGACACCAACGGAAAATTGTCTTTGAATGAGTTTTTATGAACCAAAAGGTCACAGGTTGCACCTTTCAAAATCAGAAATGTTTGATTATATTTTAAGCATAATTCCAGTGGCGCTCCCTATAGGCTGGTAGTGGCGGCACACTGTGTTTGAACGTCCAAAAACACTGTTCACGTTTCAGTACGTAAACGTTCCGACTTCTGCCTCTCCGTTTCCCGGGGGTCACGTCCGATTTGCTCACTTCGTTTGTGGAAAATGGGAACTTCAATCACTGCAACAGGAAGTTGCCTCATAACGAGCCAAGTCATTTCCATTAACTCGCCGCGTTTCTCGTTACCACTAATTACCACAGAAACAAAACTCGTTTAGCATTTTCAATTTAGCCCCGCACGCTGAAAAAATGGTAATGACGCCGTTATGGAGAGCGAGGGGGAGACGGTGGGGGGAGAAGAGGAGAGGGAACAAATGACACGGAGAGGAGGTGTTTAAAAAAAGAAAAGGGTGAGGAAAAGAGAGGAGTTAAAAAGGGTGAGGAAAAGACAGGGTGAAAATAAGAGTTTGTAATGACATCGGATGACAAAATGAAAAGAGCAGAGGGAGCACCGACGACGAGACTTAAAGGAAGAGAGAATGGATTACATTTAATTAGCAGAAACTAATTAGTGAGAACATAAACAATTAAACTGCAGCGGAAACATCGGGAAAGTAATAAAATATTTGATTTGTGTGACGCACTGCTGTTGAAAATCCATAGTTTCTCCGCCTGAGACGTGTTTATTTCTAAACGGGACTATTGATTTAATCAACTTCTAAAATAAACTTTATTTTAAAAGCACTATTTTTGTTTCAGAGGGAGAAAAAACCCACAGTTTTGTGAAGGTCAAGTCTGGCCCAGGATTAAATAAATCAGTAAAAATCTGAGTTTTCAGTTCAATTTTAGTCCCAATCAAATCTGTCCTGAAGAAACGTCTCGAATTTTAATTTGTTTTTTGTTTTGTTTTTTGCAAGCGGTCGGTATATTTCTGTGTGGATAACCATTACAGTGTAACATAGATCCAGTAGGTGGCAGTAACGACGCACAAGAAATAAGAAATCACCCAGAAAAAAAACTGAATCAGGCAAATCAGCCAATTAGGCTGCAAGAACTGTTTACATTCTATTCTTATTATTTGTAATTTTCTAACCAGAGAGATTTTTTTTATTTATCATTCTGTCAAAAAAAAAAAAGACTTGAAAATGGAAAAGCTGGCAACCAAAGACGGTTAAAGTCTGATCTTTGGATTTTGTTTGTAGCTAAAATGAATCTTGTCTTCTCTTTAATGTGACGATCAGCCGGTTTGGCTCAGCGCCAGACCACCGTGGATTTACAGGAAGTGTGAAGAAGAAGAGGAAGAAGAGGAAGAGGAAGTCCATGGTCGTTAATTACTGCTGTGCTAATTACGGTACCTGACATCACACACCTCCCTACTTCAACCAGGCTACTGGACATATGGCTGTTCCAGAGTCGGTTCCAATCCCCGGTGACAGAACAAGCTGCCCACCCCCCCACACACACCCACACACACACACAGACTCATTTACCTGGCATATGGAGGTCTCGGGGTCACAGGTGGACGAGTGCCCGCTGCACTGGCACTGGACACAGCTGCCCATGCCGGCTGCATTGGGCGCTCTGACTCCTGGAGCAGGTGCTGGGCTGTTTGTGCGAAGACGGTAAAAACCTGCAGCACACTCCTGCACAGAGGGAAAACACAAGATCAGAGAGAGATGAAAACAGTTCTACATGCTCTATTTCTAGAGTAGAAAAGCTGGGTAGATATAAAAGGAACGTTTGGTAAAGTTAACATTATTGTATCATTTCAATTCACTTAAAAAAAACAAAACAAAAAAGGTCGAGGGAATGTGAGACTGATCAATTCACAAAAAAAAAGGTCGAGGGAATGTGAGACTGACGGGGTCATAGGTCAATGCACGGTTTTTATGGAAAGGTAGAGAATGCAGTAAATCTGATGCGATAGGTCAGGGGTCGCCAACTATGTTGTCAGAGACCCTGGATTTCTCTCTACAATCAATAAAAATCTGATTTTAGTCTAACATTAATATTTGATTTTCTTTGGATCGGACAGTTCGGCGGGCCAGATTTGGTCCACGGGCCTCCAGTTGATGATTATTGCTCTAGGGTTTGTCATGTTGTTTCAAGCATCATTGATGCGGAGGCAGGAATTGTGTATCACTCCCGTCAGGACAGGGTCTTCTTCCATGAACTCCCAGAACTTTCATCAGAACTCTAAGCTGGTTGAAGCGGCGCCTCCTGCTGGACGGATCACAAAAGTGACAGTGTGTGTCCGGTGGTCTCCTCCTCCGTCTGCAGTCCAGGTCTGTCTCCTTGCTTAATCTGCCTCGTGTGGCGGTGGAGATCTGACAACAGTGTAGTAACTTCTCTGGAAGAACGATGTGTTCATGTGCGTAACCGCGGGCAACCGTTGACCCTCTCTCTTTCACACACACACGCACACACTCTCAATTAAGAATTATTCCCTTCTCTAACTTTTCAACACACTCTCACACACCAACAATGCACATGTCTGATAACAGGTAACTCTCTCTCTCTCTCTCTCTCTCTCTCTCCCCCCTGTTCAGTAGTAATTAATGGAGTCGATTTAAAGAGCCATCTGTTCCCTCTGCTCGCTCTAAACGCCCGTTTAAAAATACTTTATTAACAACTATGGCAGCTACAAATAGAACGGCCATCTGTCAGCCAAGCCCTGCACGACCTGAACATTTCAAGTTTAGCTACCGTTTGCCATTTGGCACTCTTTCAACTCTCGCCGCAGCGTCTGAATCATGTACACGGCTCATTTTTTCCGAGACGGCGTAGACGGTTGTGAGGGCAGGGGTGAAAAGCGCACTTAAAAGTTTCCGTACTCCTGGGATTAACACAATAATATCAACCGTAGTCCCCGCTGCCTGTGTGCATCATGAGCCGTCTGCTGAAGTTGAAAGAACCCTCATTAAAGTGGAGATTGAGTCGCCGCTGCGTGCGTCTGGTGGCTTAAGAGAAGGAGCCTGGACGCCGCTGAAAGTCAATTTGCTCAGACAAAAATCAAAACTTAGCAGAGGACGCGCTCGCTGAGGCTTAATGCAGACGAGGCTGGGTGAAAAAGAAATAAATCCAAATAACAGCCGAGTCTCCGCGGCGTCAGAGAAGCTTAAAAACTCTGAAGTAAATGTAAATTGGACTTCAGTGAGATACGGCCGTGAGCAGACCTGACTGCGACCTTCATGTTTATAAAAAAAACCAAAAAACCACAGAGACGACGACAGAGTTGAGTTCACACCTCACAGGAAAGTCCAGCGTAGCCAATGGGACAGTTGCATTTCTCTATCTGATGGGCCTGCCCGCTCTCCCTGGTTGGTCGACCTTCTTCAGCCACGGTCAGACTGATCTCTGAAATACTGACGGAACCAGAACAGAAGGAAAAATTCATCAGCATCAAACGGACGACAACATCAGACCATGTAATAAATATTACATTATAACGTGTTTTTAAAATCGTCATCATCTTAGTTCTCAGTGTTTCTGATTATTTCAGATTTATGTCAGAAATCAGAGGTAGAAACAATTATATTTAATGGACTCTTGGTGCTGGTGGGGACATTCTGCAGGTCCTCACTCAATAAGACAGAAACGTTATTGTGAAATTAGGGTTAGAATAACGCTCAGAAGGTGTGTGTGTGTATGTGTGAAAGTGTGTGTGAAAGTGTGTGTGTGTGTGTGTGTGAGTGCAGCTGCAGCAGGACAGAACATCTGCAGGATGCAGTCACAGAGGTCAGATAATGACATGATGAAGATGATGAAGATGATGATGGTGATGATGGTGATGATGAAGATGATGATGATAACCTTTTAAAGGAATACACAACCTTTTTCTTTTTTTTCTTTTTTTTTTACCTCTGTCATGTCGATCTCATGGCGGGTCAGCTGACCAATCTGGATCCCCTGTACCTGGCGGGTCATGACGATGTCATGGTTTGGACCGCCCTTCACGATGACCTGCGGCTCGTAGGAGGAGGGTCCAGTCTCGTCTCTGGACTCGTAGTACACGGCGTACTTTAACTGTCCCCCGTAGGCCGTGATCTGAGGAAGGGTTTAAACGAGGCCAAATAAATTTTAACATCATTACAGTTCAGACGGGGAATTTAAAATTGCCGTGGTGGGAACCGTAAAAGTTAGTGCTGGTCGTGAACAGGAGAAGAGGTTTCCTACCATGGAGCCTCTGAACTGCTCAGGCAGTCTCCAGTAGAAGGGCTCAGAGAGGGCGGATGAAACCACGTCTGCGTTGGCCAAGATGTCTGGGTGCTGGAAACTCACTCCCCTCCTCGTCTCAACTGTGTTGGATTTGTCCACCAGGGGGAGCACTGTCTGTTCAGGCTTTAGTGTTAACTGCAAGCGTACACACAGAGAAATTGCGATCAAAATGATTGAGACAATTAAAGTGTTAATTTCATACTTTAACATGATCTGTGTCTAAATACTAACTCATGTACAGTGACCTGAGTACTGGAGTACTGGAGTACTGGAGTACTAGAGTACTGGAGTACTGGCAATACTGTCCTCGGAGAATGTTGTAGTACATATAAGGTATATATTTATATATGTATATGTGTGTATACATATACTACTGCATGTCTACATCCTTATTTACATCAGAGGCACAAACAACAGACCAATCTCAGTAACATAACACAGCCTCCTTCCTACCACGGTCCTGTATTAATGACCAGCTCCACACACACACACACACACACGTCCTTCCTGCCACGGTCCTGTATTAATGACCAGCTCCACACACACACACACACACACACACACTCTTTATATAACGATGTTGTTGTTGCTCATTGTAACGGGGAAAACACGGTCGATAATTTCAGTCTGGGGTGAACGTCTCAAGTGTTTTTTAGGTCAGAGGTCGAGGTCTGGAAACATGTCAGTGTTTTTCCGAACATAACTCACAGCCTGAGACGGTGGAGCCACACATTCTGATTTATATTCTCAGTTCTCACTGACACAGAAGGAGAAATCCTCCTTCGTTCTCTCCCCCCCCCACCCCCCTGCTGCCGTTTCACGTGGTGACATTTCAATATCACTTGAACAACATGGGAGTTTATTATTGACTGTGGTCGAGCGCTGATGATACGTGGAAACTGTGTGAATATTATCTCTTCTCTCAGCCCTTGTCATAAAAAGGACGCCAAGATCTATTCATTTATTACAGCGCACAGTCGGGAGGAGGCTGAATATGAAGCAGGAAATTGTCAATTTCTGTCTTCAGTTTTATTCAGACCGCTGATAAACATCGACTGCTCTCTGACGTGCAGCTTCTCCCACAGGAACTCTTCGTTAGCCCAACAGCTAAGGTTCAGGGATCAGGGAATTCCAACCTGCTAACACAACAACTTCCCAAATATGGGATCAACGTTATACTTTTTTTCTAACTCCTCAAAGTTAGGTCAAAGTTCAAAGATGGTGAAGAGATGAAGCTGCCAGATAAATAGGACGACGTCACAGAACAAACGTCCATGTTGGAGGTGGACGCTCGGCAACAGATGATATCAATGTTCTTAAATTATATTGGTGCAGATATTCTAGTAAATATTATATTATATAATATTCTAAGTAAATATTCATACACGGATCCAAGAAAAAAAAAAATCTCCTCCAGAAGTTTTAGTTGTCAAACATATCCTTGCAGCCTGAAATCTCAGAATAATCCTGAGCATGTGTGTGCACGTGTGTGTGTGTGTGTGTGTGTGTCCCACTTTACTCTGTGTAATCTCACGACTCAGTGACTCAGAGAAAATCTCCATTTTTCCAATAAACTCCACACTTGTCTCTTCTCCCTGTCCATCTCCCCTTTGTTTCTGTGCCATGTGTGTGTGTGTGTTCAACGAATGAAGTGAATGTTTGTCGTTCAAATGAAATTTCTTCTCTTCACTCTAACCCCAAAAAAGTCCGTGGTTACCATAGAAATGTTGGTTAATCGCTGATGGCGACAGTTTCAGTTTCAGCGTTATTAAAAACAGCCACTCAAAAAGTCTGCCACTCCTTCAGCTGCTGACGGTGGGAATCTGTCACTTCACATGCACAACGCTGTTTTTATTCAACTTAAAACTTCATAAAGTCTGGATTACGGTGTGTGTGTGTAGGGATTTTGTGCCGATCAGCAGATTTAAAAACAGTTTCTTTATCTGTCAATGGAGTTAAAATACAGTGAATGGACAGAAAATCCACTTTGGTTGGAAGGAGCGGAATGAACGAAGGTGGACGGGTTTAAATGACGTCAACCAAACGGAGGGCACAAAAAAAAAATGAATGAAAAACCAGGAAGGATGGAGCGGGTGGAGTTGAGTGTTTTGAAAGTCTCCGTTCATTCTTAGAGCTGAAGACTGTAGAATTATTATTCTAAAATCTCTGTGCAGATTCTTACGGTCCATGTTTATGATTCCTGGTGGATAAATCCAACAAACCTACAGTGTCGCGTCATCTTTAACAACAGGAGCGAGTCGAGGTCAATGTGATCAGCACCTGATCGTCTGCAGAAAAAAAACGTGATTCATACGGGAACGCGAAGGCCGCCACGGTGGAAAAGTGCCGCCTCAGCTCCAGCCGTGTGTGAAATCTGACACTCCAGCAGTGAAGCTGGCACAGACGGCACGGACAGAGACACGGCTCCACTCTTTTCACTATCTTCAAATTGGAGATTGGCAAGAGACTTTGGAATCAGTGGAACCATTGAATCAGTTCAAGGATTCATCAGCACATACTGTTGAAAGTGGCTGAACATTTTATTATTTTTTTGGTTCCAGAAATAAAATGATTTGTTTTACACTAAATTGTAATTATTTCAAGACTGAGTTTGGAAAATATCACCTACATTATTACCTTTAGGACATCAATGAATTCATGTTTTGAACTGTGCTTTAGAAACGTAAAGATATGCACAAGACTAGGTTTTTAGATGTTTTAAAGGTAGAGGACAGAACTCAAGCTTGAATCTGTTGTTTCATTTGTTAACTCCAGTCAAACAGGTCTAACATTTTGTAAATGTAACGTCTTTTTTGGCTAACTACAAGACAGCAAGAGGCTAAGCCTTAGCTAGGTTTGAAGGAGCTTTGCTAACTTACAACAGAGAATTTTACTGTTTAAATTTGAATTCTAATCAAGAACATTCACCCACATTTGTAGCCTTTTGGCCAAAAAAACAAAACTGTAAGCCAACACTCACGACTCCTGCTTCTACCTAGACATATTTATCTCATCTAAACATTTTTGTTTCTTCATCCAGGAGAAACCCTTGATCACATCCCTGGTGAGGCCTGATTGGACAAACCCGGCTACTCACCCACATCCTGATCAGTCCTTCTGCCTCGTTGCAGAAGTGTGTGAGTCCGTAGCAGTAGCACTTGCTGCAGCCCAGTGGATTTCGCACCGACAACCCAAATGTGTTGGGTTTACAGTGCTCACAGTTGTGTCCCTCTACATTTTCCTAAAAAAACAAAAACAAAAACCTCACGTTAGATCTTTCTGGACTTTATAGAGTACCTAAAACTAATTGTGAAAATCAGCGGAAGAGCCTTTATTTAATGTCTAATCTTATATACGTGGGTAAAATGTGATGCTGTTTCTGGTGCAGTAGAACATGGACATTTTTGGGATTTACTTCCTGGTACCAGGACAAACCAACGGAACATTTAAGTGATGAGCAGCTGAGGCCAAAGCCTTCAGTCAGACACCTGTACAATAGCTGGACTGTTAGCACGGACGTGTCAAGCTATTAAAAAGTGAGTGACTGTGTCGGTCTGTTTACTCTAATTGGCCATTATTCCCCCCAACCTGGGGCAGACCATCACAGCCAGAGTATGAAACACAGCCCAGCTGTGAAGCACAGGAAATGCATCTTCATGCCTGAAAATAAGACCTGGAACAACATCACTGCGGCTGCACAGAATGTTTATATTTGGAGTAAATAAACCCAGAGGCGGTCTGAAATAGAAGGACTGTGGACAGGCCCTGTGTACAGTGTAAAGCCTACACTGCTGTCAAGCAAACATCATCCAATTAATGTTGAGTTGTGTCAAGAAAAACAAAAAGAAAAAAAAAAATGTCTGCAGGTTAGTGAGTGAGGAGCAGGAGCAACAACAGGAGGAGGTGCAGGTGCAGAGAAGGAGCCCAGGTGGCTAAAAATATTCTCCTAAATGAGCAACTATTACACCAGGAGGAGGACATTATGTCAACGTAAACAATGTAAAACAATGTCACGGTCCATCAGATGGACCGGAGCCACTGTTTGACCACCACTGTGTTGTTCTTTAAATGTGGTGAGAATTTTATCTGAGATGAAACTGTTCTATGTCTAGAGATTAAATAAATAAAAAAAAACAGTCAGTCATGACTAGTAAAAAAAAAGGAGAGCAACGTCATCTCAAACACAGGTTTGGATTCATTCCGTGTGAGGAGGTGAAGACGGAGGAGGAGGAAACAGACAGTCAGTCGCCCTGACACTGACAGCTGCAGTAACAGGTGAACAGAGAGGCAGCTGACGACTGACTGTGTGACTGACACACAGTCAACCTCCTTCCTGTTCACAGTCAGGATCACGCGCGCTGATCTGAAGCCTTCTCACACACTCACACTGTGTGTGTGTGTGTGTGTGTGCAAAAGTTTGTTCCAGCGTTTTGTCTCTGTCACTTTTGGATAATGTGATCAGCAAGTGACAGTCAGAGATGAAAGCTGTCCCCAGTGTGTGTGTGAGAGAGAGAGAGAGAGAGAGAGAGAGAGAGAGAGATCACAATATCAATCAACATGAAAACACGTTCTGTACTTTTAAATCTGACTCCCAACTTCATCAGAGTCACAACCTCTGGGTCGAGGCCTTCGACAGGTTCATCAGAGGAAGTCAGCTGACGTAGTTTTAGTGCCGGTTCATGTCACCAGGGTTTTGCACCAGCAGCCCCACAGGCTGCCCAGGGAATCAGCCAACAACAAATCTGGTGATTGTGGTGTGTTTACCTTGCAGCTGCATTTTCCCGTCCGGTCGGCACAGGCGCAGACCTTTCTCTCCGGGTCACAGGTCTGACCGTCTGATCCGGCCACGTTACACTCACACTGGGTGCACTGTGGGAAATAAGGGAGCAGACGAGGCTCAAACCTCCGTTATCAACCACACAACAGACGGTTGAGGAGCCACCGGAGTGTGTCTCAGCTTCATGCTCCACCAAACATTCAAACTGGCCTCCAACATGAGACCGACTTCCAAACTTTCAACTGTTGGACACGTATTAAAAAAAAAAATTCAAAACATTTTTTTGGATTGTGATTTTTTTTTTTCTTCTTTTAAATACTTTTACCAATGTGTGGCTGAGTTGTTAGCTTGTTAGCATTTATGGATTTGAAGCTAATTGCTAAACTAAGCTAACTGATTGTGCTCTATTGTTATTACTTATAATACTATGCTCCATTATTATTTAGCCTTATATCTATGCTAGTTTGCTGAATCAATTTTGGCATTTTTACATGACATTTGTAGATTTTATTTTTCTTATTAGATACACATATATTGTTATGTCAATGAAATGTGTTTGGTTTTGTTTTGTTTTGTTTTAACTACCAAAATAAACCAGCGCAACTGCAGTTTTTTTTCTACCCCCGCCGCGTCAGTGACTCAGCTCACAGACCGTCCGGGCTCACGGGCAAGTTGCACGGAGGCAACAGCTCGCGAGCCCACGACGCTGCAGCCACACTCCTGAAAACACAGAAAAACAACGACAAGTATTCAGCTTCAGATACTAGAAAACACTGAGACAGACCCTGTTTATACTTTAACCTCTGACTGTGAACTCTGATGGTGGTCCCACAATGTAGCGGTCATTACGCCTGCCTTACATGCAGAAGATCTTGGGTTCAAGCCCCAGAGAAACCACATACCTAATGGTGCCCCCTGTGGCAGCTTGCAGTGGTTGCAGAGACTTATATTGTGAGATAAATAAGTTTTTTTTTATGCTTTTATTTTTGGACACACATTCCTGTGTTTCCACCTTGCCCTGCTGGGTTTTTTTTTTTTTTACCAATTCGGCCACTAGGTTCTGCTGTTCCCCTCTTCAGGCACTCGTCCAAATCAGGGATGCTGTAAAACCCTGACTTTCAAAGGCCTCATGTTCAAGCCTCTAATTGCCCCGGCCTTGTACAGTCTCTAATAGTTGGCAATTATTGGCTCTTAACACTTTAGTGAAACTCTTTGAGCCAAATAAACACACACTGTGATCATAGAGGGGAGAGAATGGGGAGTGAAAGTAGAGAGAGGAGAGGAAACGAAGCTGGAAACCACAGATTTACAGGCGAGGAATAATAGACAGAATAATAAATGAAATGACCAGAAAACAAATAAACAATTCTAACGCAGCTGTCAGAGGATTACGATCATTAATTATAGGAATTAAAAATGACTCAATTATGAGTTAATAACAGTAATAATCTGTGTAACGTGGTATGTGACTGTAGTTATGACACACACACTGAGCCTTCTGAAACAGTTTGTTATTTGGACTGATGCGGTGAGTTTGCACCAACAGAGGGCGTGTTGATTAATAAACACAGTGTTTTGTTACTGCAGGATAAACTGTCCTGGTCATGGATGGGCTGCCGGTGATAAATCTCAGCATTCTCACTGAGAGCAGCACTGGAGGCCACTGTTTCTCAGCCTCTCATTTTGTTCAACAACAACAAGTCAGCCATTCGTCAATGACTGTTTTTCTGCCTACCTTTTCCTCACCGTGCGTGTGTGCTTACCTTGCATCCTGTGATGATATCGTGGCCCCAGTGGTTGGGAGCGCAGCGATCGCACCTCTCCCCGATGGTGTTGGGAGGACAGATGCACTGTCCGGTGTTGGCGTCGCAGTTGTTTCCCACGTGATTACAATCACAGGCTGATGAAAAAGAAAGGGTGAGAGGAAGAGAGGAGGGTTTCATCCACTGTTCTCACGACAAAATTATAGAACTTTTAATGACCATTTTTTGACAAATCAACTGAAAAATCCATCGTATTTTTTTCATCCTGGGTTTGCGACTTTTGCGTTTGTTATTTTCCCACTGACAGCCACTAGAGGGCACTCTAGGCTTGCATAGTAGTATCTGCTACTGTTGTACTACTGAAAATGAATATATGAATATGTTCTTGTTTCACAGGAGCAGAAAACAGTTCCGTCCTGCTGACAGCTCTTACGTGTGCAGCCTCCCTCCTGGAAGTTGAAGAATCCTCGTGAACAGCGGTCGCATTTGGGTCCAGTGACTCCGGGCTGACACCGACACTGACCCGTTTCATCGCAGTCAAAGGACTTGGAACCGAAGGAGTTACAGTGACAGGGGACACACTGTCCACGTGTGGAGATGCCAAAGGTCTGAGCCTGGAGACACACAGTTAGGACACAAGGAGACGGCAGTTAAAAATGGCCCCCAATGTTGAGAAACATCAACGTTAGAGAGACAAGCTGCAAACAAACAAACAAACAAACAGGTTTTCACATTAGTTCTAGCTAGAAAAAAAATCAGTGGAAAACAAAATCAAAGATGCACACAGTTCCTGGACGTTGCCTTCAGCAGTAAAATGCCATGCATAACTCATCAGAATAAAACATATTTACAATCATCATCAAAGTGCATTTGTTATCTGACAATCTGAAGTTTTTTCATTTTTCTCAATGACTTTAAGATATATTTTTTAAAAACATGCATGTATTTCTCAAGTAGACAAACTTGTTGAGCACAAACCACCAAACCAACGATCAAATCAAACACAATTTTCAGACAAAACCACAGAATGACATCTTCCAAGTTGAACGGTAGGGAAAAAAAAAAAAAATGTAGTTTACAAAATATATTTCAGCTAATTAATTAAGTTAGCTTTAATTTTTTAAATACAAAAAGGCAATTAAGTTAGCTTTAATTTTTTAAATATAAGTAAAAGCAAATAAAAATGATCTTGAGCCACTTTGCCGTTTAAACAACGTTAATCATTGACGCTCCTCCTGTCAGTGAAGAGTCTCTGTAACGTCCACCACACGTCACCAGGACCACACCGTGCTGTAACCCACGTGCAGCTGTTACCCCTGTCCTTGGCATGTATGCCCCCCTGGGACACCCCCCCGTACGGGGCGGTCCCGACCATCTCTGCTGCACAGCTTCCACCGGGACACGTTCCACCGGCCGCCGTGTCTCCCTCCGCCCGTGGTTGGGGCGCCGCAGGTCGCAGCGACGACCCACGAAACCCGGGCGACAGATGCAGCGGCCCTCGGCGTCACAGCGCTGAGAAATAGCGCCGTAGTGGCTGCAGCGACAGGGCTGACAGTCCTGACGCTCGGAATCCCACCAGCAGTTAGGCTGCACCAATCAGAGGGCAGATGAGCAGAGCCACGTTGACAGAGGCCACAGACTTATTGGAATTATATTATATAATATTTGTACATTTAACAAGTCAAACCAACAGTTTAGAAACACTTCACCTGGTCGGACAGCAGCTGACAAAGTCAAAAATATTATTACAACAAAAGTGATAAGTTGATAAGAAATGGACAAAATCCTGATGGGAATCACTGGAACCTGCACTGACCTGCTCTTACAGAACGGCATTTCTTGACATTTTTAGTAGAGTTTCTTGGTAAAAGTAAGAAATACTGCAATCTATTCTATATTCTTATGAAACACTTTTACCATCTAGTTAGCAGGGCTAATGGCTAACATTTGCTTTTGTCAGATTCTCATCTTTATTAAGGTCAATAGGTCACTGTCTCTGTACTTCCACCCATGACTTGGCTACGATTTATGGTACACATTTCTACATGTATAGTGAGTATCCTGTGAGTGGACAGTACTCAGTGACTCGGTCGATCACACGTACCATGCACTCGTCACACTGTCGACCAACGACGTTCTCCTTACAGCGACACGCTCCAGTCTGTTTGTTACACAGTTCATCTACAGAGCCATTGGTGTGACACTGACAGGCTGTGAGAGAGGAGAGAGGGGAGAGAAGAGGGGTGAGGGGGTGAGGAGAGAGAAGAGGAAACAAACACATAATGAATGACTAAACAAACAGTCGTTTTATCACAGCTGCTGAGTTTGTTTATTTAAATCACAGATCTGTGAATAATCACACACTGAACTTTAGATTTAAAGTTCTACCGGCAGAGGAAGTCTCTGTCACCAACCCACTGACGCCTTCTACAGCACACACTGACCAATCAGAGCGAGCCTACAGCGGAGGAATCACATGATGTGTTCCTTAAATCCTGTCCGTCAGCTTCCTGTCCGCTCCGATGAACATCCAAAGTGAGGATCCAAAAACTTTCCTTCTGCTCAACAAACTCACTCACAACCAATTCAGCACAAACCCCGACGAGACTTTTATGTCTGAAAAGTTCAGCCGTGTGTGAAAATGAAACTTTAGGAGAGAAAAGGAAAAAACTGTTTTCAGTATTTATGTCCTTGGATGTAGAGTCCAGGACGGTACAGGAGGAGGCAGCACTGAGCAGGTGGTGATGTACGGCCGCCTGGGACCTAAATACTGTTGACAGCACAAAGAGCTGAGTCATCTCTGAGCTACGCTACGCTGAGTGGAGACCACATATCAGCCTTCCTGCAGGTAAACATGAGGTACTGCAGCCTGACATTATTGGGAGTTTTTAAAAGTGGAAATTCTTTTTGCAGTTAAAAAATATGATTTCAGCAAAAAAATGGCTACATTTCTGTCAATCTGTCAATTAACCCAAATATAAATGAGGTTTTTACATTATTTAAAATTATAATCTAAAATGTACTTCAGTATTAAATACCTTTTAAAGCGTAAATATAATATTTTCATGTGCATATAGAATTTCACAGATTGGCCCCCATTAAACTCGGGAGAAATATTTTTGATCATTTTGTTTGGTTAATTATGTGGAATGTGTTCATTAAGTTTTTTTTTTTCCTCCTTGCTCCACTTTAAGCTACTTTAACTGAAAATCTGCTGTGGGAGGAAGAAGCCACGCCCACAAATGTCAATCAAAGCCTTACGTACACAATTTAGCTGCGAAACCAGAGCTGCCATCTGTCGGAGGAGCCGTCAGGGACAGACACACGCAAACACACTCAACTTCAGAATAAAAAGGAAGCAGCAGCAGCAGCAAACATGACATGACATGACATGACGTGAAGCCGTTTGTGTCTGTCTGCACCTCCTCCTGTCCTCTCCAACAGATGTCAGGACTGTACTGTACGTGAGGCTGTGCACAAACGCCACGAATTTATGCTCTAGAACGTGAACCTACAGAACAGTTCCATCTCACACACACACACACACGCAGCGCCTCACATCCCCCTGGTTTCTCCCTTCAGGGACCATCTGGACGGCGTTCTGTCGTCCACCACAATAAAAAACCCATGTGTGTATGTGGGTAAATGATGCCGCTCTAACAAGCTGGCCTTGATGGGAAAAAGGTTTCTGTTTTTTTCTTTAACAAACTCAAACATGTCACGTTCAGCCACGAAAACACGCCGTCAAATTAACTGCACCAGTAGTTATTGTGCATCTCCTCTGCGTTATTAGCCCCTCGGTTGTGCACGGCCAGGAGACGCTCACGTGCGCTGCTATCTATTAAGGACGCGGTGAGCGGCTCACGGCTAACCCCGTGGCAAACACGAGGGAAATATTTCCTGTGTGGGAGTGCTCTTGTCGAGATTGACTTCTTTGAGCTGAACGCTCTTCAACGTCGATTCCTTTTGTCTGATATGCATTTCCTGTTGAGCTGCTTCTGCTGCAGCTGCGTCGTTTGGTCTCACTCGGTTTTTGTAATCAAACAGCATCATGGATAAAATATTCTGTTTCCCTCATTATTGCAGACACCTCTGTTTGGTTGAAATGACTAAGAACAATACACAGTTAAAAAAAACATATATATTTAAAATATTTAAAAATATATATTAGGATATATATATATATTTTTTTTACTGTGTACTGCTTGGACTGGTGACAGTCATAAATTGATGGTTTGGTTTTAACCATTAGGTCAGTATTTGCCACCGTCTCTGCAGCGCCCCCCTTCTGTAGAGAGGGCTACTGTCCAGTCACTGATTACCTGATTAGTCCCAGGTCAACGCTGCACGGCTCTCACTACAAAACGCCAAAGTTCAAAGTGAATGTAAAATCTGAGACAAGGCAGTAATAACAGATTTTCTGTGTGAACAGTTAAGCATGAATTCAGAGACGCTGTAATCAGATTAAAATGCGGCCCCCTGCTGGAGAAAACACCAACAACTTTTGAGGAATCATTATGTGGAGAGCCTGCAGCGCTGCTGCTACAGCCCAGCAGGGGCGTCAGTCTGAGGAGAACAACTTCCTCTATCTGCATCAAATGATACCTTTAATCCCTTCATTCAAACTTGGAGTGGATGCTACACACACACACACACTAGAACGTGTGTGTGTGTGTGTCTGTACTGGCAAGCAGCTGTGCTAGTAGGAGGTGTAATGTCTTTGCGGCCCACGGACTGCCAGCTGTGTTTAAGAGTGAGGATAAAAAAATAAAAAATAAATTAAAAAGTTGGACAAAAAGAGTAAAAGGAAGATGAGAGACAGCAGTGGATGTGTTTATACCAAAAAAACCAAGAGATATATTCACTAGATTTTTACTGATGTTCTAAATGTCTTTGGCAATGGTTCTCAAAATAAGGCTGGTGCACCACTGGTGGTACATTGGCTCCCTTAAGTTGGTTAAACTGGTGGTTCTGTGTTAGTAAAACCTGCTTTTTTTTCAGTGGAGACCTGACGAGAAAAAGTGGAGACATGATAACGATGAAGATGAGGTTGAAGAAGAACATGGTCTCTCTGTCTTCCTACGGTGAAGGCAGAGAGACAGCTGATTGAAGAGAGAGAGAGAGAGAGCTGTCTACTGGTGGGCGTGCACAAAGACAGGCAGACACACACGCTGACAGTCTCTATTAATGTGTACTTGATAGTTGATTGTTCTCTACTTGTTTCCCGCTCTCCACCCAGGCCTAATGGTTATTGATTAATCAGCCTGATCTATTGCTCTCCCACAGTGCTGATCGGCTGCTGTTGTCTGGAGATGGAGGGCTCATTATTGATCCAGTAGGAATGACAAAAGGCCGGCAGGAATTATTAAAACACTCTCTACAACTCTCTCTCTCTCTGTCCGTCTACCTCACTCTCTCACCACCGCTCCAAGTCTTAATGAATTTTATGGAGTGGAGCAGAAGAGCTCGGACTCAGTCCGTTTGTGCAGCATTAGACTGTAAGAGAAATGCTGTCTATTTTCCCTCTGATGTCAACAGTGTCGTCTGTGGCTGCAGCCATTTGTACTTCACTCCTTCTCATCAGTTCAGTTCATTTCAGCCCAGTAATAGAAGGTGGGTTTATTTCCAGAGGATTCAAAACCAACACAGTCATCTCTGGAAAAAAAAAAGAACTCCCACTCCTAATTTCTCACATTGGAGAAACACTCATTTGCAGGTTTTCTTATCTGCTGCGTTGGTCCAGTCACAGCTACACAGTGACTACGTAGTGATATTTTGAAGGTTTTGTGAATATAATAACACACTCTGACACATTCTGATGCTTCACAGAGTGAATAAGTGTGTCTTAATTTAGGACTGGTTTTTTTATATATATATATATACTGATGCAGTAAAACTACCTGCTGTCTGGTTGCTGTGTTCAGTCACGCTGTGGTGAACGGCCTGTTAAATCAAACTGGAGCAGCTCCAGACTTCAGCTGTGCTTTTCTTTAGAACCGATGATCCGTTAGCACCACTCCAGTTGTTTTCAGAAGACACCAGAACAGTCACGAACCAGAACTGTTTCAGGATTTGGTTCCCAATGTGTCGGCAAATTTATTCCATATATATATATATTAAGGTTTGTGCACAAACTAAGGCCCGGGGGCTGGATGCGGCCCTTTCAGATTTTCCAAATTATATAAATTATTTATATTATTTTTAGACTTCTGACTTTTCCCTGCAATACCCACGTTTTCCCAATAAATGGGGATGAAAATGATAAAAGGGTTTTAGAATTTTATCATTTATGTGTGACTTTTACATGTCATTTAACTTAAAGTTCACACAAACACTCAACAAAAGGTTTACCCACGCCTGTTCTAGTCCCTTCAGCAGCAGTTTTTACTCCGACTAGGACTAGAACCTTCTGGTGTCAGACTGGACTCTTTGAAGGTTGAATCTGCTTTGTACCAAACCAGTGAATAGTTTCACTGCATCACAGTTGTGTGTGAAAGTCCTGACTGATAAATTCTCCGTGCCACTTACGTCTGCAGTCCTTGGCCGTGATGGCGTCTCCGTAAAACCCATCAGCACAGCTCTCGCACGTCGCCCCCCCGTAACCCGGCCGGCAGCGCAGACACTGCCCCGTTATTGGATCACAGCTGCCAGGCAGGGACAGGTCCAGATTGCCGTGGCAGGCGCAGGGCTCGCACAAGTCACCTGGTACAGCGGGCGTCCCGTAGTATCCGTTGGCACATCTAGGAGGCAGCAGAGAGACGGAGTGAAAAGAAAGTAGCCCACTGTGATAATGCAGTTTGTTACTGGATGTGATGAGAACACAATCTGCTGCCTGGAGACAGTATTGAACAGTCATTAAAGGGAAGATGTGTGGAGGGCTTCTGGAGCGCCCCCACCCCCCCGCCCCCCACTACTGCATGTCAGCTCCTGCAGCCGATGTGTCAGATTCTGCTACATAATTGTCTCTGCAGGCTTTTCCACTTATTTTTAAAAAAAAACCCAAACACATTCTGTTTCGATGAGTCCCTTGTGGAAGCCCGGCACATAAAAATAAAAAGGCTCATATTTTCCTACAGAACAAACAGCTGTAAAAAGAAGGAATATTTGCATAAAACGCCGTCGCAAAACCTCGACAGCGGATCAACAAACATCTGCCGTGTTTTCACTGTCTAACAATAAAAATTAATGTCAGTCCCTTCGTTACAAAAGTTACTTTTCGGCCTCACATTATTCAGCGTCAGGGCTTAATGAACGAGGAGGTGGAGTGTAATTAAAGTGAGGCTCGCTCTGTATTTTAGGGCCCAAAAATAACTCCAGCAAGAAACGCAAGAGAAAAACTCGTTATCTGGGAGCAAATATTGACAAATATATTGTTTACTGGTCCGTGCAGTGGTGTGGCGGGGGCCAAGTTTGCCTCTCAGGTGGAAGGTCACTGGCTTAAAGACCAATTACAGTCAGACGGAAATGGAGTCCTGCCCCTGGTCACCTGCAGGTTTATCTTCATCAGTGGGGGGGGTGAGTCGGGGGGGGGCAGACCATAATTTTTTCTAATCCACAGCATTCAAACAGTGTTTATAGCACCCCCTGCTGCAGTGAGTGAGATATACTCTGCATTAATATGAAACACAAAGAGTATTTTTAAACCATATTTTTCAAACGCCGCCGCTGATATTGACTGACAGAGGGAGTTCTGAGAGAGCAGAACTTTGGAAGATGCAACTAGAATGAAATAAAACTGAGGTTAAAAAAAGAAAAGAAAAGAAAAGAAATAAGGCTAGAAAAGCAGAGACAGAGAGAGAGAGAGAGAGAGAGAGAGAATCAGAAGAAAAGTGGTCGTCACACTGAGAACGGAATTGAATTTGGAGAGAGGGACGAGGAGGACAGAGGACAGACAGAGGGGAGAGAGTCGGGGGCTGCAGCCATTATTACCAGTGACCCTCCATGGTACTCAATACAACTGGTTTATTAGCTTCACTCCGCCTGCCTGTCGGTGTGTGTGTGTGTGAGTGTGTGTGTGTCTCTGAGTCACATAGATGTAGTATTATTTTTTAATCAAATATGAAACCTGACCTCGGCCAAAACATTTTTGTCAACTTTAAGATATTGATGGGATTATTTGACCTCGGCCAAAACATTTTTTTCTTGTTACGTCAACTTTAAGATATTGATGGGATTATATTCAGTAATTAGTTTTAATGCTCTGCAGTGATTCATTTTATATTTCTGAAATTTGTGGCGATTAACATATAGCTTTTGTTGGCTAATATATTTATTTTATTTTCTGTCAATATTTGGTATTCCTTTTGGTTCAGTTCTTATATCTCTGCTTGGATATTTCGGACTATACCCATTCTATTCTATTCTTATGTTTGTGTCCCGTCACTTAAGTCTCAAGGGAAAGTGAAAAGTATTTATAGAAGCAATTTGGCCGATTTGACACCTGGTTTAAACCATCAGTCAACAGGAAGTAGACAGATGAAGACGACAGAGAAAGGGTGAGAGAGAGAGAGAGTGTGTGTATGTGTGTGTGTGATGGCATGCAGGGGGGGGGGGGTTCAGGTTTACACATAAAACTTGTGTTCTTTTATTTTTAGTACTTTTCAGTGTCGGGGGGGAAACACAGTCAGCCTCTGCTCCTCCTCTTAAATCTCTGTGTCCATATATTTGAATGCGTTTTACCGTCATCTTCCCAATGTGTACAGTACGTTATCTAACGAGAGCAGAAACTGGGTCAGTCTGTAGAAAAAAGTCATTTCCATATGAATAAAAATCTCTTGGTGTTTTAAATATATGTGCATGATTAAAGCTGCGGTAGGCGTTGGTGAAAAATAGCGGTGTTAAAAATATAGTTTTAACAAAGAGACTTTTAACAATAACCTACGTTTCATTTGAACGCTAACGCTTTTTGGCTAACAATAAACACGAGGATGGAAAACACTGTGATAAATTTTAATATTTATTGGCTTATATTTACGTCTCATTCACAGAATTTAATTAGGTTTAGCCTTTTTTTTTGAACAACTTAAAAACTTTAATCTCTTTATCTTTAACTGAAGCTACAGCAGCTAAAACCCATGTTGTTGACACTCAGTCAAATAAGACTTATTTTCAAGCTCCTCTGTCTAAAAAAAAAATCAACAAATTTTCAATCCTTCAAAAAGACCAACTTGTGTTAGCTTTGTACTGTGCTGTGGGTTAGCTGTACTGAACGGCTTCCTGCTAACGCTGAACGGCCGTTCACGCACAGGAAATTGAAAAGCTGAACCAATTAGCAGCGGGTGGAGAGTCCATTAGCAGCGAGAGGAATAAAGAGGATTATTGTGTTCGAGCCTATAATGCAGACAAATTGGCACATTACAATTAATTAACCACTAACAACAACAACCACCAGATAATGAAGTGCAGCGGCAGCGGAGCAGGTATCAGTGAGACAGAAAGAGAGACAGACACTGATGGAGAAGACGTTTCCACTGCTGCAGGTCGCTCCTTATTTCTCACTCCTTTTAGGAGAACAGCTGTTCTCTCCCTATGACGGGAAGCACCATATGGCAGCACGCACACACACACACACACACGCACAGTTACAGTACAGAGGAATCAGAAGGATGTTCTGTTCACACACACACACACACACACACACACCTTCCATTTGTGCTGCCATGAAACAAAGGCAAACAAACCATGTGAGTCTATATTTAGCAGTAAATCAACTTTAAAGAAGTGGATTTTTTACACTTTAGGGATTTGATTAAACAAACACTGAACAATGTTGATTAACATGGAGAATCAGGACAGAAAAACAGATTATATTCTGTCTGAAATAAAGAGGCTGAGCTGTGTTCAACGAAGGGACGTGTGACGTGAGATGAACCGTCTCACTGCCGCGCAGGTAAAAAGACAATTATTTCAACTATTTCCAAAATTTTGTTGGAGTTAAATTTCTGACTTTTCCTCTAGTTTTTGAGACAAATAATTAAAAGTCTGTTTTTGGTTGAAAGCAAATTATGAAGGTTGACCTTGATTTTGAAAAAGAAATTACTTCAAAAAACAACTACTTATACCAATAAATAATGCATCTAACTTAGGTTAAAAAAA